TGCAGTGTAATGTTTGTTCCTTTGTTGACAGAAAGTTCCCTTGATCTGTTAGGCCCACTTGCTTATCTCTTCAAAGCATAAAGTGCAATACAGCATGTTGTTGTTTTCTGATTTCCAGTGTTGTTGATGTGACCAAGCAGTTCACATCTCCATTATTGAATTGTATGGACAGGAAATGCATTTTATTTCCCTGAAATAAGCAAACTCCATGTATAGAGAGAATTCAAGAAGTCTTTTCAGATGTTCTGGAGACAGTTGCTTTATCTATAAAGGCAATTCAGGGACTAATGATCACAATTGACATTTAGGCAAATATTCCTTCTCTTGGCATTCATACTTCCACCTCACCTCAGTGGATATGATTGATCATTCAGGCCACTGAGATGGTGTGGAACCATCAAACAACAAGAAAAAGAAGTGGTATAGTAAATTTGATATATTTCTATTCATTTTGTTAAGTAATTGGATTATTAGCTCACTGGTATAACCTTTACCATCCAATGCCTACCAAATATTACTAAACCATGCAGAAAGTGTGAAGTCCTTGACACTATTACTGTCTTTCTTAGATTACCCAAATTATGAACAGGTCATTCTAGAGTTCCTGGGTCAGTTGAAATCTTTGTATATCTTAAGGTTTGGTTAACTCTCTATAGGCAGTTCTAGAGAAACTTCTCTAAAATACTGCCTACTTATCACAGTGGTAATTCTCCAGCTAATTAGAACCGCTTATGGTATGTCTCCATGAAGTAGGTCATGCTATAAATGCTATTTATCTTTTTCCTTTCATTTCAGAGCCTTGAAAAAAAATTCACAAATTGTAGCTTAAAATATAGGATCGTTATTGGCCTACATTGAGTCTACAACACAGAAATTGAACATTATTGATCTAAGCATGAAAAGTCTTTTTGGAGTTAAGTAGTTTTAAGATTTTAGAGAAAAAGAAGCAAGGGTGATGATTGTGAAGCTGAGGGTGCCATGGATTTTTCAGACATAAAGAAACCTATTTCTATTTATCCAACACTTACTTGCAATATCCTGAATTTTGTCAATTTAGCTAATAGGAATGTTAATTAGATCTCATAATTTCCTACTTCAAGGAATGATTTGTTCCTCCATGGTTACAAAATGCTTACTTGTATAAATTCCTAGGCTAGAGGTAATTCAGAATAAGGTATCAGTCATACAACATGGTTTACTTTCCCAGTATTTTATGACACTGCAGTTATCAAATGCTTTCTGATTCTGCCATTATGGGTTTAACTATTTTGATCTTTATTATTGTATTTGCCTCTAGCAAGCAGTGTGAAAGTCCAGAGGGGATATAAGTCTAAAAGATAGCTCACTTTTCTTACTGTTAAGTTAAATCTCCAGTGGCCCTCACTCCTTAAGAAGGAGCATTCTTACCCAGTTTTTGTTTGGGAAGAAGCTCCTTATGTAATCCCAGCATGGCTAAATTTAGCCCAGGAAAATATTTGGACACCTGCAGTTTTTACAGCTCTTGAATTAAGTGTAAATTAATTTTCACAATTAGTAATAGTTATTATGAGCAATTATGCAAAATGCCATATATTATGCCAGTAAGCATATATGTGGATCAATAAGCAAATTGTTCTATTAAGTGCTTCTTTTTGGCACTACCCAATTTGATTGGGCATTAAATAATCAAGGACACTTCTTGAACTGTGATTAATATGAGGTGTGGTTAACGACTCATAGATTTATAGGAAATGCTATTTTCTCCTTGAAGCTTGATAAGTAAAAGGCTGATCCTGGAGGATCATTTCTTTCCCCCTTGACATACACACGGGATTTAGACTCAGAACATTCAGTTTTTCCCACCTCTGTTAGACATACTTTATTTGGCCATATTGCATTTACATTTTGTTCCATAATCGTAATGAAGATTTTCAAGCTTTCTACAACTTGATTCTGAAAGTTGCAATTCAATAAGCAATATTTACATTCATATACAACATTTACATTATGAGTGGAATCTTTTTTATACAGCCCCCAACGTGAATTAGGGTAATATTTCTCAACTGTTCTTCCAATGTTGTTAGCCTTGTACCACTCCAGGAGAAAGTTTCAATGACATCTTCATATTTTTCATTCAAAATAATGCCCCATTCTCAGCATTCTTGGAATTCTGTGACTTTATTTTCCTTGCATAGCTGAGTTGGTGTCCTCTCTCACTCTCCCTCTCGTCTTTTTTCCTTCCACCTTAAGATTATGGTTATTATGTATTAGCTTGTAAGGAACAGGAACATACCCTTTTTCATTATATTAGCATAGATGTCAGATTGTTCCCAAATTTACCTTTCATTTAGAAACAATTTCATTGGTTTTTCAATCATTGTTCCTATTTTATGTAAAATGCTACCTGGTGGTTTTGCTTTCTCTGCAGTGTCCTGTTGTCTTTATCCCTACCTTGATTTAAACTTCAAGTTTGCCAAATACAACATTCATTCTTTTCTTTGCAGTGGTATTTCTCAGATGCCCTCCCTATGTCCTCTTTCTTCTGCACTCATCTGGACTGGCTACTTTTGATTTATGCATAATTGCCAACTTCCTTTCACTGCTCTCCTAACTCAGAACCACTATTTCTAGGTGCCATGTTCAGCAATATAGGTAAATATTAACAACAGGCTCTTGTAACAAATAAGTAAAGATCAGACTTTAAATGCTTCCTAATTTCCATGTTGTAAGCACTATAACTGTTCTCAAGTTTCCCAAGTGGAAACTTGAAAGGTCATGAAATTTAGGAGAGGTGAACACAATTCAGGTCACAGTGGTATATGAGACTTCACCTACTATTGATGAGAAAGACTTGAACAGAGATAGATCTTAAATATATTCATATTTTTTCTGAATTAATAAAACAACGTGGATATCACTTAATTTCACTTGGTGGTTCTCAAGAAGTAATTTCCCAGAAATTATGACTTTTAGAGAGAAGATATTTGGCTGCAAAATAAATAACTTAGCATGGAATTAGATAAAATAACTATGCAAAAGTGCAATGATATTTTGTTTATTTTTGAAGGGTCTTTTGTTGTTAGGTTTTTAAGAACAAAATGCTCACTAAGTTCTCATAACTACCTCTTATCTGATACTTGAGATGATCCCTTCATAATTATTTTATGAACTTTCATTTTGTGCTTTCATTTTATTTCAAATCACCATAAATTCATTTTTCAGTAATTTGACAGGAATAAACGTTTACAAATAAAGATCTGTAGGGTTTTCAATAAAGAATGCAGATTTTCTAATAAGTGGCATTAATATGGTTTCTTTCATTGTGTGTTTTCTTAATATCATAAAAGAGAGTGCTACCCATGCATGTTCTGACAGAAAAGAAAATGGGTTTTTCTGTGTTTGAAAAGTTCACTTTAAAGGTTTTTGTGATGCACGACAGCTTTAAATTAGACTTGCTTTTCAAAATGAATTGCCTGCAGCTGCTCTTCAAGATTGCTTTTTTTTTTTTTTTTTTTTCTGGGTATATCCATCCTGTTTGGACATTAAAAAAAAAAAAAAACCTGCACATTTACATCTCTGATAGACTAATAAATAAAATGCTCTATTTTTAGGGGCAGGTTCCTGGGACCTAATTAGAGTCACAAGCTGAGGCAAACCAAGTATTGAAAACCCAGTGCTGCTCTTGATTATTTTGTGTTTTTGCCAATTCTGTGTATCTTCCTGTTTGTTAGAACAGGGGATGGTGACAAATTATTTGATGAGAAGGAAATACTCAGGACATGATGTTGTTCTGGTGTGGTTGTCTTCTGGCATTTGTTCTTTTTTTCTTTTCTTCTAATATAGCTTGCTGAGCCAAATTTTAACCAAGGTACACTCAGTTTTACTGAATGGAGGACAATCTTTATATCCAAGGAAATTAAAACTATTGAGGCATGCACCAGCCATATAACTAAAAATATACATAGAGTGCCATTTTCTTCTCAAATCTTTATCTTCAAAGGCCAAAGTATAGCTAATCGTTGACTCATTTTATCTGAGCTACTCTTTTATGAGTAAATCCATCAAACACCTTGAAATACATAAGACTAGTATACAAAAACGGCAGGTGGAATTATATTTTTTGTATAAAATACAATCGATGTAATTTGTCCCTGATAATGACAGCCTTGGTGTTGACTAGACTATATGAAATTCATGTTTCATCATAAATGGATTAGCCATATATTTTAATGTGTCTTAGAATTGTTTTAAAATTTAGTCATATTCAATAAATAAAATATAATAAACTCTGTCATGTCTATAATTCTTATGGCCCCATAATTTTTATTTGGGTATTTAAAAAGGATTTTACATAAACTAAGATGAGCTCATATAAGCATATGAGTTCAATAAAACAGAATTCAAAGGAGCTATTCAACTCTAGCTTTACATCAATGTCTGGAGCTCAGAGTAAATAAGTAAACTTTCTTTTGAAAAAGGGGTTATTAATTATCACCAATGACAGTGTAATGAAAGGAAATAAGCAGAAGAAAATATTTCAAAATTTGTTTCACACTAGAAAACAGAGGTGAATAGGAAGATTTTTTCCAAAATAATACTGGTTTTAGATTGCAAAATGCCTTCTTGCTCTAAATATGTTATATTAAGTCAATCATTTTACTAGAAATAGTGATGAATTAATATCATAAATTACAGTATAATAATTGATCCGTCCAGATTTATATTATAGGGAATGACTTAAGTAATATATGCTTAACTCTTCAAATGGGCTTAAAACCGACTTACACTGAGTTATGTTTAAAATCTACCTGTATTTATATCCACAATATTCCATTGTAATATAATTTCTGAGAAAAGATGCAAAAAAAGTACATGAAATACATACCACAGTTCTAGTGATGATGTCCATAAATATGATGAAATTAAATATTGCAGTCTTCTCTAGTTGTGAAATAAAGGTTAAAATTATATGATAGTATACTTAGTTTAGATGCTAATAGACTCTCTTTGCTTTCTTGTAGCTCTCAGCATTAGAGAGACAGATCTTCGACTTTCTTGGCTTCCAGTGGGCACCTATTCTGGGAAATTTTCTACATATAATTGTCGTCATACTGGGTTTGTTTGGCACCATTCAATACAGACCTCGATATATCGTGGTGGTAAGTTTATTTTTATCTTCTCTGTATATACAGAATAAATAAATACTATAGAATTGCCTGGAAACAATTAATAAAATTATTTGAGTGGGTTTCTCTTATAAGATGTGGCATTGCTGTTCTAACTTTCCCACACTGAATTCTGTTAAGAAACAATTACCTGTGGATAGAAGATTCAGTGTAAGAAAAGTAAAAAAAAAGTAACAGAACCAGCACACAGTGAGTCAGTATTGCTCAATTCAGGTTTCACTAGGAAATTTAAAAGGAGGTTTAGATAGAGGATGAGATCTTGATGTTGCTGGATGGAAATAAAGGGACATTAACTGTCATTTCAGTGATATGTCACAAACCCTAACAAACAAACCCATGTCCCTGTAACTGTTTACTGACTGATAACAGTAATTTAATTTTAATTGATTTAGGACATTACAAATGCATGTGCTGAAGGTTATTTAGTGCTCATCTCTAATGTAGTTCATACTGAACATTAGTGTGCATGTCCCCATTTTGTTAGGATAAATTAGGTACACAGCATCTCTCCTACCTGCCTGTAACTATAGAGGCCTCTATAGCCTCTTTTCTCCTTTTCTTAATAAAGCTGTCCTTTGAAAATATAAGAAAGCTCACGGGGAACATAAATCCATACTACAAACTATGCAAACATGGTAGCACGTGCTCCATTTAACAAAGTTTCTTTCTTTTTTCTTTTTTAAAGATTTATTTATTTATGCATACAGTACTTGGGTACAGGCCAGAGGTACAGGGGGGCGGTGAGAGGATTTCTGGGGTAACATATTCTTAAATGTCCAGGGAGACTGAATAAATACAGTGTTCATAGAATTAGTGAATATTTTCTTACAATACAGTGTCATTGACTCATTAGAAAAAGATCATAGATTTTAAAAATACCCATCTTTCGATTCTGATTAAATCCAATCATCTCTAGCAACAAGAATGAAGTTATATATTTTTCTGTAAATACATTTAATTCTCTATTTGGTATCTCAAAATTGACATTTTGGTATCTTTTCTTTCATCTGGCACACAGCTTACACTGCACTTAGGGGCACCGGGGAGCATTATTTGGCCCTCAGATGACTGCAAGGCCACCCCGATTGCAGCTTTACTGTCCTCTGAAAAATAGCCTCTATTAAACCACCAGATAATCTCTGGAAAGCTGTTTCATAGAATCAGAATGGCAGCACAGGATGCTTTAACATTATGTACAGTATAACTTTTTTTTGTATTATATATTCTAGTTTAATTCTATGAACATAAATCCATTTTTGCTCACTACAGACTTCTTAGTTTTATGACATTCATGTTCTGCTACAGCACATAATACTGCCTGGGTGTACAACCAGTGGCTTCTAGGGAAGTTGTGCGTATGTATTAGTTGTGTAATCAAGTGTCATCGCTTTTACTCCCCAAATATTGCTCCTGCGTAGTCTGCGCACAACTACTGCCTAGATTGAGGCTTCTGTAATCTCTTTTCTGTATATGCATGCTAGCTGTCAACCTTCCTGCCATTCTATGTGTCAAGCCAGCAAAAGTAGCTTTAAACGACAACTTTCATGAAAATAACTTAGAAATGAGAAAACTGGTGTGACACAGATAATACTAGGTAGCTGCCTTCCCAGTAACAATGTGCTTCATATTCATGGATCAATACTTCATGCATTCTTCCCCAAATAGACATTTTGTTAGAACAAGAGGTATCCTGCTATCCCACACTGATAACAGTATTCTCTGGCCTGTTAAGAAAATATGACAGAACCATTTCCCATATCAACGTTTATAATGACAATGGCATCAAAACATCTGGAATCTGGCGATGGAAGCAAAACATAGATGGTGCGAAAGCAACTTCATCAACTTGGTGGTATCAGAGGTGAGGTGGGCACAAATCCAGCTCTGCCACTTAAAACTGGGGCTTCTTGGAAAGTCACTTACCTCTTTCAAACTTGCTTATAAAGTTCAGTGTGTTCATGTATACATAGAGGTACATGATGATTAAGCCAAAAGGTGTATCTGGCATAGAGAGTTTTCCTGCCAGTTCATTGTTTTGTTTTGATTTTCCCCTCTTGGAGAGGGTTTTGAATAAGATAGCAAATAAAATGATGAGATTTTGTTGGCATACACAATAAGAGAAAATCAAAATTAAAAATTTAGATAGTTTTTCTTATAAATATTTTTCTTGAATATTTCCAAAAACCTAAATATCTCCCTTCTACACAAAGAGGGAGTGGAGAGAAGAAAGCAGAGGAAAAGATACCAGAGAAAGAAGTGTGGTTATCCCTATTATGAGTGGACTCTGAAACAATAGGGCTCTAGATGGAGAAAAAATACAAGTACTTATTGACCACCTATTATATTCTAAGTCCTCAAATAACTCTTTGTTTGGTAAGGAAGATGCAAATGTGGATTTTTTTTTTAAACATGCGCAAAACACAAAGATAAAGAGACAGGTTGTGTTTAACTCTGAAAGCTTATGGAAGGAAGGTTGTCAGGGCCAGAAAATGTGGCTAGAGCTGGGCACCGAGCCCCAAGAAAGGCTGTGAGCATGAGGGGCTGCAGAGGCAGATAGAAACAGAGGGTGCAAGACACGGACAAGCACAAACTCACTGCTCTCTTAGTCTCTGAAGTTGGTTCATGTTCTCCCAGGCCTCTGGCCTAGAGCTTTTCCCATTCCCCTTTTACAGTCACTCATTCTTCTGGAGTCTCCCAGATCCTGTCTCCCCACTCATTACCTGATGAGTTCCTGGAGAGCAGAGACACTGTAGTTTATATTCTTTTTTACTTATCAGGATCTACTACAGTGAAAATAGGTTATCAGTAAATGCCTAACAAATGGATCGGGACAGCTGCTACTGACATCCTCCTGTGTGTCCTGTGGTGCTTTGTGCTCAGAATTCCCATCCATCCTGTCTTCCCTGGTGAGCACACTCACAGGTACAGATCTCAGCTCCACAGTGCTGTCTGCAGAGTCAGTCTGATCTCCCTTTTACATCTTATGGCACATGTGCTCCTGTATTACTGTGCTACTATGTTTGACATTTAGGTGATTACTTGATAATGGGACAGAATATATGTGTTTGTGTTTGTTCACTGATGTCTCTATACCAAACACAATGCCCAGTACAGATAGAAACTCGAAAAATTGTGTTTAAATGAGTAAGTAAATGAAAAAAAAAAAAGGTAGAAAGGATGTTAAGAAAGAAAGGAAAAAAGGAGAAAGGAACCAAAGTACGAAAGAAGGGATGGAGGGAGAGAGAGTGGATAAGAGGAAGAGAATTGAGTTTGGTCAGGTGGGTCAGCTAAGGATATTAGATTTTTATCCTGATAAGAGTTAGTGAAGGATTTTATGCACAGCACTATGAAGTTACCAGCAGCCACTGCAGCAAGAGTTCAGTCCCTAGCCAGGGGGGTGACCCAAATGGCACAGCAGACCTCCTGTCTCACCCGCTGCTCCCCTCAGCAGTATACCCCTCAGACAGAGTGTTCTGCTCCCCACTCTGTCTCTGATGAATCCTCTCACTTCCTGCACCTCTGACTTGCCCACCAGTTCTGTATGCATAAATAAATAAAAAATTAAATTAAAAAACAAAGCAAATTCTATGCTCCAAAACAAAACAAACAAAAATATGTATGAGATAACATTAAATGTAAGTGACTATACAACTACACACAAGGGTATTTTGAAAGTCTTTAAGTAATCATAAATGACAGAGTCACAAATTTTAATTTTACAAATAGATTCTCATAAGGTTCTATTTGGAACTTGACTACTTTGCACAGTGTTTAAAATTCATTTTACTTTTGACACAGTATAGAATGAGGCAATGAATGATTTCAGCATTTATTTTAACAATAACATGTGACAATGATAATCAGTGATAGAAAGCAATAATTTATAATTAGCATGTTAAGTAATTAAGAATTCACAGATTTTTGTACTAAGAAAATGAATGGTCATTTCCTTAGTACATGATCAGAGCCATTGTACTGGATCTGT